TACGGGTCAAGATACGCGACCATGTGATAGGAAATAAGTTAAGTGACCCGAACTAAGAGAAGTTGCAGATGTTAAGTTTTTTAAATGTGAGTATAACATAGTAAGTACTTAGCTTTAAAATCCCTTGATCGATTATAATTGATACGTTTATACTCCCAGCTTAATATTATATTATCAAATATAACATGTACATATTTAAATGTATTATTTAATGTATCGTATATTCTATATTCTATTTTTTGTGAACACGCATACAATTTGTCGTATTTGTCGTGTTAAATATCAAGCGTCGTCGTATATTATAAAATTAACCAAAAATAATAAGTAACAAAAATTTCAATAATAATAGGTCGGGGAAAAAGTTTCTTCGTATTTCATATACAAATACATTTTTTTTTCAAAGTTTAATTACATTTAATTATAATATAAACATTTTGTTCGATAACTTGTTACCATCTTGTAGGTAGATTGTTGATCAAAAAAATGCGACAAGTAATTTTGGCAGTCCTCTCTTGATGCAACAGGTGAAAATCTGAAGGTGTAAGGTCATGTCTTTATGGTGGCCATGCATTAACACTTCCCAACCAAGTTCTCTCAATTTTTGATAAGTGAAAGATGACCTCAATAGTGCCTCCCAACGGATAGGTCTTAAGATGAACATGGACAAAACAAAGATCATGTTTAATGTCCATGTCACACCTATGCCAGTAGTTGTTGGGAGCACTAAGCTTAAAGTTGTTGACGAGTACGTTTACCTGGGACAAACAGTCCGACTAGGTAAGTCCAACTTTGACCGAGAGGTCAATCGACGGATTCAACTCGGCTGGGCAGCGTTCGGGAAATTACGGCACATCTTCTCGTCAGGTATACCTCAATCTCTGAAAACTAGATTGTCCAACCAGTGCGTGTTGATGACTTACGGATCTGAGACGTGGTCCTTCACTGCTGGCCGTATGAGGACGCTCAAGGTCGCTCAGCGAGCTATGGAGAGGGCTATGCTCGGAGTTTTTCTACGTGATAGACTCAAAAATGAGGATATCCGCTGTAAAACCAGAGTGACCGACATAGCCCAACGGATTAGTAAGCTGAAGTGGCAATGGGCCGGCCATATAGCTCGAAGAACCGATAACCGATGGGGAAGAAAGGTTCTCGAGTGGCAGCCTCGTACCGGTAGGCGTAGTGTAGGGCAACCCCCCACTAGATGGAGTGACGACCTGGTAAGATATGCAGGAAGTCGATGGATGCAAGTGGCTCAGGACCGTGCTTTTTGACATTACTTGGGGAGGCCTATGTTCAGCAGTGGACTTGTGAAGGGCTGTAATGATGATGAATGATGATGACTAAAGGTCTGGCGTTATCATGATGAAAGACTACTCCTTTTCTGTTGATCAATTAAGGCCATTTTATCACAATTTCTTGCTTGAGTCTCATTAGTTGGTGGCAGTAGAGATCCGAATCGATTTATTGCCCGGCGGTAAAAGCTCATAATAAACGATGCTCTTCCAACGCCACCATACGCACAGCATCACCTTACTGTTTCGCTACTTTGTGGAGCTTGAGTACCCTTTGACCATGATCTTTTTCGCACGTTCTTGTCGTAGGTGATCCAGTTTACTATTAGTGTGATTTAAGTTTTAATTGGTGTTCAGTAAATAAAGTGTCAATTTTAGTAATTCAATCGACAGTTTTTATTGTCACGAACCCTAAGCTCAGAACAATTGGTGTCAGAAGTAAGATTAAATCATGCCGATTTTACCGAAGGACGACACGGAAGGTACCCGAAGTCAACACAGGAGATGGACCAGAGACGATTTGGTGGTTTAACGCCGCAGACGTCGGAGGGCCAGCTACCAGCCCGGAGGCCGGCCCGTCAGCAGCTCTTACGTCTGTAGCACCTGACTTAGGTGCTCTGATGGTGATGCTGCAGGAGCAGGCCCGCCGACAGGAGGAACAGGCCCGCCGACTGGAGGAACAGGTCCGTCGGCTGGAAGAGCAGCTGCAGCGCGGACAGGAGGAACAGGCCCGTCGGTTGGAAGATCAGCAGGTGGAATAGGCCCGTCGCTTGGAAGAGCAGATTCTCCACATGAAGGAACTTTACGCTACCTTTGGAAAAGAGATAATGGAGGGAAGGATAGGGTTGCTCAACATGACAACCGCCTGTCGGAAGCTGAAACCCGAATCGAGGAAGCGGAAACCCGAATCGACCAAGTAAACAATCGGGTTGACAACGTGATGGCTGACGTGAAGAAAACGCTGAACGACCTCAAACTTGGGGATAGAATTACAGCTCCCGTAGTAACTACAACACCTTCGCTACGTGGATTCAAAGTGCCGCCGTTCGACGGGACGTCTTCCTGGTCGGCCTACAAAATCCAGTTCGATGCCGTCATGGGGGCGAACGGCTGGAATAAAAGTCAGGCCATGACTGCACTCACCCTAGGCCTGCGCGACCAAGCCTTAACTGTTTTGGAAGCTCTCAGTAAGAAAGTGACTTATGAGCAGCTCCTTGAGACATTGGAGGCAAGATATGGCGACGCTCACCTGGAACACGTCTTTCGTGCGCAGCTTAAATATCGCGTGCAATGCAGCAACGAAAACCTGCAGCCGTAGGCCCTTGAGGTGGAGAAGATGGTTCGAAAAGCATACCAGTCTGTACTTGCGCTCATTGAAGAGAAACTGGTGCAGACATTCATCGACGGCATCCGCGACCTTGAAGTCAGAGCTACTGTGAGGCTCGGGCACCACGAGACGCTTAAGGATGCCTTGGCTCATACACTGGAGGTGGAAGCCGTGCAGCAAAATCTTCGTTCCCATCGCGTCAGGGAGGTTGCGGCGGTTACAGCTCGGGACAGAAATAAAGGACACAGCCCCAGGTGCTATGGCTGTGGGGAAAAAGGGCATCTTCGATCCATCTGCCCTAAGCGAACTGTAGAAAGGGAAGGTGATCGATCTCGAGGGGGTAGTGCGGCTAACGGCACCGCCCAGCAGCGGCAGGATCATCGTTCTCCTCACGTTAGGGAGGTTGCAGCACCTACAGTTCGCGACCACAATAAAAGTTACAGCCCAAGGTGCTACGGCAGTGGGGAAAGGGGCCATCTTCGAACCAGCTGCCTTAAGCGATCTGTAAAAAGGTAAGGTGATCGATCTCGAAAGGGTAGTGCGGCTATCAGCAGCAGCAGAAATACGACTTTACTATCGAACACTGCAGCGGAAAATGGCACGGCAACACAGATGCTGATGATTGCAAGAATAGTACTAGGCAAGAGGGTAAGGAAGTGGTATCTGTGAGGATTCTCAGGACAGACCACCTCAGCAACGAATGGAAGGACAGCCTACGACATGCACAGCAGGAAGATTCGGACATCAAGCTTATTCTGCATTGGATGAAGGCCAGTACTCTCAAGCCCAAGTGGAGCGATGTCTCAGCTATGAGTTCGACCACGAAAATCTATTGGGCCCAATGGGAATGCTTGCTGATTCGGGATGGAGTCCTGTGCCGTAAATGAGAAAATGGTCGAGGAGACAGCTGTCGTTTGCAAATGGTTTTCCCTAAAGCTAAAGTGCTGAATGTTCTGCAGCTGTACCATAACGGTTGTTCAGGAGTCCGTCTGGGAGTTAAACGAACTCTACTGAAGATCCGAGAACGGTTTTACTGGGTCCATTATCGTGACGATGTCGAGGATTGGTGTCGCAAATGTTCAAGTTGTGTGGCTGTGAAGGGACCTCAGAATCGTAGTAGAAGTGCATTGAAATTGTACAATGTTGGTGCATCATGGGAGAGGACAGTCCTTGATGTTGCGGAGCCGTTTCAGAAAGGTGCAAGAGGTACTTCTAAGATCATCCATGTGAATCGACTGGCGCGTTATTATGGAGCCGATAAAGCTCGGGACGAGCATGTCTTAGGAGGGGGCAGTGTTGCGCGCCACAGTTGATGGCACTAGCGCCATCTATTATCGAACAGAGGAACTAGGCTTTCTAGAAAACTTTACATTTGCGGTTAGAAAAACAATTGAAAACTGGCGGGAAAGTGTTTTTTACTTTTTATTTTCTTTTTCTTATTTCTATCGTCTATGTATTGATATTAAAACCAGCCAGATACAAACAGTACTACACTTTACTTTTTTGTAAATCGGTCCTTGTAAGATGTTGCATATAACTTTTGTTATCGATCGATCTTTGGGATGGGGAAAAAGCATTGAACTCGCATGACCGTCACGCCACATGTAAGCTAAGGAGTTTTCACTTCTCATGTGCAGTTCTACGACTGTCAGTTTTTTTTAATATAAGATTTCTTTTTATGTATGAATGCTTTTAATCGCTAATTTAAGTGAAAAATCATAGATTCATCTGCATCTGAAGAAAATTACTGTAAGGACAAATTATAAAAACAAAAAACTCTTAACAATATCGACAAAACTAGAGATATATTACGCACCATCGACATCAGTAAGCCTAGACAAAGCAGATGTTCCATCGCTCGTCTTTATGACAAATGGTACTCGTATCTATCGCACGTAAAGTGCATACATATTTTAGCCTACAAAATATTGATCACCAAATCAACGTGATAAAATACTATGCAATTTATTACATGTATATATGTGTTATAGTAATAAACTACCAATCCGAACTAACAATTCGGAGTATATTCCAATGTTAAACCTATAAAAACAAAAATTGCATTGGCCCGCCTATAATATTATGCTCAATGTATGTATGTATTAATTATAGTGTAGTAAAATTGACGCTTTATCTTTAATATGACCCACGCTGGAAGACACTGATAACTCCATTTAGGGTCAGTATTTCGCGTCTGAAGCAGTGGCATATCTGACACGTATCGTTCTACTCGTGTTTCGTGCTCCTACGGCCGCGGCCCTTTATTTTTCCTTCTTATTTTTTTAGACAAAGATTTCATGGTGCTAACTAGTGCTTACTACTTAAACGTTTTAAACACCCTTCGCTCGGGCCTTGAAAGCAACATACATTCTTTTATCAGTTTGAATACAGAAAAAATATTTCCCAAACTGTGCAAAGGTAAATAATTTTATGTGGTATTTCATTGTACTACACAGCTATCAGAAATCAAGTTTTCGAATAATATGTTTTAAAAACTAGTATAGTATTATATACTAAATGTATGTATAATTATACTAAATGTATAGTATTATATACTTGTAGCTGTTAGCCTTTAAAATGATATTTATACAAGTTTGATAATACTATCATTATCATAAGTCGTCTCTACCCAAGAGAGCTGGAATATTCCTTGAATGTCATAATTATTATTGCTAATAAATATATACGAAAAACTTTTTGTACAACAATTATATTTTATATAGTATGAACAAGAATCGTTTGTTTTTCAGCGTGCGAAAACAATAAGATGGCTTCAATTCCTCCGTCGGCATTTTCTGCTGGTCGTATTCGAGAAACCCAGCGAAACATGAAATTATCGAACATCAATAAAGGCAACCCTTCACCTAAATATTTCAACAATAATGGTAAGCTAATAGTCATTACTAAGAAAGTGTACCTATACCTTTTGCTTTCAACTAAACTGAGATGTAACGAAACTGATACTATATTCTCACTAAAGCAAAAAATAAGTTAGTAGATACTAACTGTAACTTTGTTGACTATCCAGCTCACCAAGTCAATATCAAACAGACAAACTATATGCTAACAAATAAGCTGGCAAATCAAAACAAAGCGAACACACAGTCCACCCGAAGGTAAGTGATGAATGCTGTAACCATAGACATTAGGTACATTTATCTTTGATTAAGAAACAAAATTGAAGATGTGTTGTCACCCTGGAGAATTATATATGATTGAAAAAATTATAACTTAGAATATTATTTTTGTTGAACAACGCGTATGAGAACTGGATGTAAGTATTTCTTAATATTATATAAACAGAAAAAGCTTTTGAAGTTAAATTACTACCGTGGAGTTCCGTTAAAGAATATCTTCTATCTCGTATCGCCCCGTTGAGGTCGTAAGACGTGACAGAAGAAAACGAACTAGGAAATGTGCAGCAGGGACTTCCTAATAAAACTATAAAATAAAAAATAAAAGCTGCGGCTGTCAAACCGCAACCGTATTCGTGACAATGGTTGCAAATACATCTACAATTTAAAAAAAAATAAGTTTACTTGTGAACTTTCAAAAATCCACTATTTTTAAAATAAATCATAAATCTGATCCCAATTTCGAAATCATAGTGACAAAATAAATTTGAAATACTTAGTATAAAAGTCATTGTATCCTCTTTTAGTTTATTTTAATATAAATATTGACTATACCACGCCTTAAATCATATTTTGTTCCTTCAGTTACAGAGCTAACTCCATTAAAATATAACAGCAAGTTGATGAACAGTATCTGGGGATTTTACAATCGCTATTCGCCACATAACGTGAAGAAAGTTAACGACGCCATTTCCTTTAATGTGGAATTGCAGCAGTAAGTATTGCATATATTAAACTGCAAGTGAACAACGTTATAACTTGTTATAGTACAGTCAGGACCAAAAAGATCTGATTATCAATTATGCTCACCTGGATCTCTATTCTAATTATGTAATACACTTATGAAATTGAGACACTTTCTTTGAATTTCATAATAGACGAGCAGCTCTAATTCGTTGTCCAAAGCTGCTTCTATTTAAATAAAAGTAGTATTATATTCTATTATCATTATTCCTATTATTCCTGGAAACACTCAGGAAGGGAGCCGTAGTAGCTCAAACCTCTTTATGTCACCCACGCCACGGGATAATATAGGGAATCTTAGAATTTTAGTTTATAACGTACTAGACAATAATGTCTCAAAAGTGAAAACTTATTTGTGGCTAGCACTTTGTGGACGGAGGTAAAAAGGTAAAAAATATGCGCTTCACCCACCCGATAAGTCTGTATAACTGCCGACATAAGTCGTGAGCACACTTTTTATTGGTCGATACCACGTTGACCACGCTGACGTTCAACGTGATTGGTTCATCAGTCGATTCTCGTCGTCTATTGTTTTCGAACGTATCATTCGGCTTCCGTACACTTCAGAGCAATAATTTTAATGATAACTTTTTTAATAAGTTTATTTTCGTTAATTGTTTTTGTCAGCTCGTTGTTAATTGCTGTTTGTGTATTCCTTGTTATTAATTGTTTTTGTTATTTCTTGTTTTTAATTATTTTTGTTGTTATAATTTGAGTGTTCAGATTTTGGTCTAAATATGCAGAGAAGGAAGAATTCGGTGTTAAATAGACAATCCCGACAAATTTTCTATTCAGTATTTAGTTACATGAAAAAATTAGGTACTGCGAAAAACATCATAGACGTATATAAACAGACTGCTGAGGCGACTAATGTCTCAATAGCTACTGTACGGCACACCGCAACACCAGATTTTATGGAAGGCATATCACCTCTTCCTTCTTCTTAATAAAATAATCAATTCTAACCACCAGGTATACATTAAATACTTTATAGTAGATAATAAAATAACGGACATGAATATCTGCAACATTACTGTATCAAAGTAAAAGTTGATGTGTTCGAGTAAACATTTTCATAAAAGTAGCCGAAAATATTAAATTACGAATTTGAAATAATAAAGGTATCCAATAATTTTGCCCGACAGTGTACCTACCTCCCACCACAGTTTATCTGTGCTCACCACTCGTGTCGGCAACTTTAAATGCCAACTGGCTGGCAACAGGCCCATGTCATAAGGTTAATCGGTGCGACTTCGTACGAGTAACCAAGATGGGGCCCCCCAGGAATGTGTAAATGAGTAATAATCTCTATGTTAAAAAAGACTTAAAATCGTGTTTTTTTATCTTTTGAAACCGCCTATCAAAATTCATTACTAAATATAGGACTCCCCACATTGCCATAGATGCCACGCTTAGCAGCGGGGTTGGCACGCCCATAGAACGTAAAACACCTTTTATTATACTACTACGATTAAATATCTTAAGATTAAATATTATACTACTACTTGTATTTTTTTTTCTTTTGCAGACCTGCTGTCAATTCCTCTACCAAAAATGAACCAAAGTTAGTTTTACCTACACCCAAACTTGACAATGTTTGGGCTACAATTAATGTTTCACAATCACAAATATAATTAAAAATAAAATGTCATTAAAAGTGTTGCAATAATCCTATAATGTTTAAAATGAATACAATATAATATACAAAGCAAATACTTTGTGTTTATTCTATAGCTAGCTAGCTATATTTATAAATATATATTTAACTGCCTCGTTGGTCTAGTGGTTATAGTAGTGCTACTGCTGATCATGAGGTCCTGGATTCGAATCCCGGGTCGGGTCAAAAAATTAATTATTGAGTTTTTCCGTCAAGAAATTCTCAGTAGTTGCCCGAAGTCAGGAAGTTGACGGTGTCTCACCCCCGTGCTTCGGAAAGCACGTAAAGCCGTTGGTCCTGCGCCTGATCTCTCTCCGGTCATGTCGGTTTACGGTCCCATCGGATTATAAGAGTGAGGGAAGAGAGTGCATCTGTGCTTGCGTATACACTTGGGCACCATAATCCTGTCCTGCGCCGATGGCTAGCCTCCGTTGAGGCTGACCGTCGTGACCAAAATTCGGTCTGGAGGACGTTATTATTATTAAATATATATTTATAAATATAGCTGGCCAGCCGGACCATTGTTATCAACCTGAAGTTTGTCTCAGAAGTAGATATGATTTCAGAAGTTGGTAATTTCCTGCTGATCCTACTTTGAAAAGTTAGTATATATCCTAAAAATATAGATCTACAATAAATAATATTTTTAGAATAAGATATAAAGAATGATATAAATAAATTGTAATTTTGTGGTTCTCAAACTGTGTTATGACTTATGACATAAGATGGAATTACTCATTATAATGGAAAGGATTTGATTTTTTTACTGGAAAAGAAAATTGTATTTTAGCAATCTAAATTGTTAAATTAAATGTAACAGTATGGCAGATGTAAGTATTTTAGCAAAGCGGCATATGGCGAAGCAGGTGGCGATTTTGATGTTCCGAAGTTTAGTTCTAAATAAGTTTTGTTATTATCAATTTTTGAAAGCAATTGAGTTAATGGATAGCCAAGGTGGTAAACCTTAGCGACATATTTCAGTAAAACGTAAGTAAACAGCATATTAACAGTTTAAAATACTAATTGTATCATAACTATCATAACTATCTTTCTCGTAATGAGGCCATTCACTGACATATTGCTGCAAAATGCGAAGAATTAAGTATAAATGTTTTTAATGTGTATTTAAAAATAATAAAACTATCCTAAAAATTACAAAAATTAAAACAACAATAAAAATAAATAGAAAAATTACTGTTTTATAAAATACCACGCAGCATACGCCCTACTTCCTGGAGCGACTCGCTGTTGAGTTTATACAAAGGTACTCTGTGAACTTGTGGTTGCCGTCGAAGCAGAATGAAATGGCGTCGTGTACCATATTGCTAGCATTTAAAAATATACCATAATTCAACGGTAATTTGAATCTTACGGTCTTGTCCCATCACCGATCTTAACCCTAACGCACCTTACTCGTAATTTATTTTTGTATTGGGTAACAAATATTTCGTTTTTTTATTAATTATAAGGAATTTTAAATAATTATAAGGAACCCCATGTGAAAGCAGGATCATCGATCATCAATTCCCAAAACAAAACCCGAGAAAAATCAAAAATTGAAAAACGAATCATGATCAGTTTAGTACCTATATCCCGATTTAATAGTTTATAATTATAAATATTCAATTCCTTTATTCGTGTAAACAAACTTGAATCTGAAGACAGAATCAGTGGTAAGTAATTGAGAATTCACTTGAAATTCTATGATATGTTATTATAAGAATCAATTTATGTAAAATCTTCAATACAATAACCTTGAGAGTAGGCTTGGGTAAAATATCGAAATATGTATTAATAATTTTCTCATTAAAATCGCGACTTATTGATATTTAAATCTCGATATATCGATATTCGATATTTATTTCGAAGTATCGATATACAGAGATTACAACAAGAATGATGACGGAGCTTAGCAGTTATGAAGCAATTTTAGAAACATTCAACAAACGAACATTCTCCTTAAATGTTTGTTTGCAAGTAGGTTGTCTTAATTTTTCAGGCAGATCATTCTCTCAGGAAACTCGAACGGTGAAGGTATACTAAAGAGAGCAAGAGTCTCCGATGAACGAAGCTGTCTGTCATGTGTCGCGCAGAAACTGAAACTTATGTTTCACATAATTCGGATAGTGGTTATCAAAAAAAAAATAGAAAAAACTGTGTTAAGTATCCTAATGTGTCTTCGTTGATGAATTGGAAGCCGATTAAGCTGAGTGCGGAATGAGAATACATGATCAAATTTGCGAAGACGAAAAATGAAACGGACACAGTTATTGACGAGACGATCCAGCTTATCAAGAAAAACTTCATTTTTATTGCACAGACTTTCACCGCAATTCTATTTAATAATAATAATTTTATTGTTTTTAAAATTTAGTTTTTATTTTCAAAATCACTCTCAACGTGTTTCACGGCGACTTTTTCTATGTTATATTTACTAAATTAGCCAACGAAACAATTTATTAGACAACGTAAGTAGTTGAGGTTTTAAATACTGTAGTTTAATCAACTACTTTAGTCACCACAAATATTAAATTCCTCAACTCAGCACACTTCATTCCATCGACAACTGCTAAGTTCATTTCATACCTTCGAGCTACTCTAACGCTGTTGTGGAGAGTTTTTGAACTGTTATTTACTGCTTACTGATGGACACTTTTTCAAATATTCTCCTATGTGAAATGGTTCTCCGTACCCTACACTCCATGGGCCAATGCATCGATTAAATGCCTCCCCCTTGGACTCTACTGATCTCTAGCCTCCATGCTACTCACAGAGTACATTATGGGTATGTTCCGAAATACAACACAGTACACTGTCGAATGCGAATGACGTCATAAATCGACGCCATATTGGTGATTCGTTGTATCGAATATGGTGGAATACGACGTAATTAATGACGTCATTCGCATTCGACAGTGTGTGTTGTATTTCGGAATATAATCCCTATATATACCTGGAAATGCTACTGATAGAAGGATGAAAAGCTGTAGTGTTGCCACAAGTCAATAAATACAATTTTTTATTTCCATTTTTTTTTCAAAATAACAACTGACGAGCAATAGAACATTTTTTGCCAATAAATAGCCAATTCCTACACATATTTATGTGATTTTCATATACTCCATTTATTTCAAAACCGATTTTTGATAGTCTGTGGTCGTCCGTTATAGCATGGCATAGTTTAGCGCGGCACATCACTATCGTAAGTAGGCGGTACCCGCAAACTAATAAGAGTTGGCGGTACCCATCCATGAAGTATAGTGCAAGCAAGATAACTCCGCGCGCGACCGTAGACAGAGAAAACTATAGACAAATTGACGCCTTCTTTCGCATTCGCACACGAAAAAGATAGATTTAAGCATGTCTTGCATAGAAGTGAGACAAATAAAAAAAAAGAAGTGAGAGAGCGGTGTGATTGTTTGTCCCTTTCTCCGTGCCGGTTTTTGATAACTTACTTACTGAAAATAACTTTGACAGTTCGTAGCGATCTAAAGAGTTTACAAGTTAGTTTAGTGAGAAAAAAGTGTTTTGTGAGCTTAAGATTGGTGAATCTTGTTCAGTTCAGTTCGTAGGATAGTTAAAACTGTTATCTAAATATGTTTAAAAGTCATAAAGATTGTTGTATAACCTAATAATATATATATACCTAATAATCCTAATATTTACTACGAATATGTCTGAAGAGACACTGCAGCAAGTCATGCGTTTCACTTCTTCGAAAGAGATGTGGGATGAATTAAACCATCTTTACAATGGGGAAACAGAAGATAAAAGTTACGAACTTTGTCTTGATTTCTTTAAATATCAAAAGAAAAAAAAAATCCCCCCTTTTTTTTTTTTTTTTAAAATTTTCCCCCCCCTCAAATTTTTTTTTTTAAAATTTTAGAAAGCTAAAAAAACAAAAAAAAAAAAAAAGATAAAAAAAAAAAAATCAAACTAACCAAACGGTTTTATTGATGGACAATTTAGTAGATACGACAAATTGGTATGTGGATAATGGCGCTACCAGTCACATAATCAATAGAGTGGATTTTTTCGAACATTTTGAATATTTTAAAACTTCCCACACCTTCACAGGGGCTAATGGGCAAAGTATCGAGGCTGTTGGAATTGATACTGTCCGTGCTGAAGCTTACGTTAAAGGTGGACTAGAAAATATTCTACTAAAGGATGTTTGGTATGTACCTTCAATTACAAGAAATCTATTTTCTGTGCCTGCTGCACAAGATCGCTCACCGAATTGTTTTTTCAAAACAACTGCTGAGACCTGTTCATTGAGAGTAAATGGAAAAGTTGTGCTAACTGGAAATAGGCAAAGACATGGAGGGCTATTTAAACTGAATTTAAAGTGTGTGCCACCTACGCTACATATTTATTTACTACAAATTTACCATGAGAGGATGGCGCATCGAAATAAGAGACATGTAAGACAGTTAATAGATCTGCAAAATAAAACTTGGATATTGCCCAATTTGATGTTTTAACCGCATTCCTATACGGAACACTTAAAGAAGATATTTATATGAAGCCTCTCGAAGGTTATAACAATAAGTCCAACATGGTCTGTAAATAAAAAAGACTCTTTATGGCTTAAAACAGGCGCCACGCTGTTGGAATCACTGTATTACACAATATATATTACAAATTGGTTTTAAACAAAGTGAATCTGACCCTTGTTTGTTCGTAAGGAAGCGGGGAGGTATTAAAACTGTCATAGCTCTCTATGTCGATGATGCATTAGTAGCAGCAACAAATTTAAATGAAGTTGACAATTTTATGGGTGAGATGAATAAACATTTCAAAATCACGTTCAAAACTGCATCGTATTTTCTCGGAATTGAGATCGATAGAAAAGTAGATGGATCTATAAAAATTGATCAAAAGGGATTTACGAAAAGGATACTTGAACGGTTTGGTATGCAGAATTGTAAACCAGCTGCTACACCGATAACGAAGGATATTGACAATGACAAAAATTTCAACAATGAAACAAATCCAAAAGTATCATTCTCTTATCGTCAAGCCGTGGGTTCCTTATTCTATCTGATGAGTGGAACTCGACAAGATATAGCATTTGCGGTAGGAGTTGTGTCATGAAATCTGGATAATAATACGGCAGAAAATGTGGCTAAGGTGAAACGCATAATGCGATATTTAAAAGGCACAACTGACTATGGTATAATTGACAAAAGTTCGAGTAATTTCAATCATTTAGAGTGCTATAGTGATGCAGATCATGGACGTGATCATAGCACTGGACGGTCGACATCAGGTATTCTGTGCATTTACTCTAGTGGTGCAATAGCATGGCAAAGTAAGCGGCAATCTGGCGTAGCTATATCATCTACAGAAGCTGAACTAGTTGCTGCTAGTGAAGCAGCAAGAGAAATTATTTGGATGGATAAAATATTAAGATTTTTAGTTGATAGTTGTGAAAGTATTCCCAGACTACATCTCGACAATGAATCGGCTGTAAAGCTAGCCCATAATCCACCATTTGAAATGCACCATCGAACGAAACATATTCGTAAACGACACTTCTTTATAAGAGAATGTGTTGAGCAAAGAAATTTAGAGGTGCTGAAAATAAGTGCTAAAGACCAGCTTGCTGATATATTAACAAAACCTTTATATAAGCCACGAGTTTTGGAATTAACTATAAAAATGGGCATGAAGTTTTAAAAGGAAGGCGAATGTTAAGAAGATACACGAAATATTAAAAAGAAATAGGTATCTTAGCAACGTCACTTGTTGATTGTCACATTATTGTAAAACTATAAAATAAAACTTCTATTATTTTTTTCTTATATTGTTTATTTAAAGCTAATGTATATGTTTTAAATCTTAATATAGAGAAGTCCGAAGAGTACAAACTGCCACTTTGCCTGGCGTATGTGGACTATGAGAAAGCCTTTGATTCCGTCGAAATTTGGGCGGTGCTACAGTCTCTGGAGCGGTGCCAAGTTGACTGTCGATATACCGAAGTGCTGAAATGTTTGAACAGTAGGGCTACGATGGCTATCCGAGTACAGAACCAGAATACGAAACCTATCCAACTGCAGAGGGGTGTAAGACAGGGTGACGTTATTTCCCCGAAACTCTTCACCGCTGCATTGGAAGACGTTTTCAAGCTACTGGACTGGCAAGGATACGGTATTAACATCAATGGCGAGTACATATCACTCACCTTCGATTTGCCGACGATATAGTCCTTATGGCAGAATCGCTGGAGGACCTAAGCACTATGCTCAATGACCTCAATAGTGCCTCCCAACGGATAGGTTTTAAGATGAACATGGACAAAACAAAGATCATGTTTAATGTCCATGTCACACCTATGCCGATAGTTGTTGGGAGCACTAAGCTCGAAGTTGTTGACAAGTACGTTTACCTGGGACAAATAGTCCGACTAGGTAAGTCCAACTTCGATCGAGAGGTCAATCGACGGATTCAACTCGGCTGGGCAGCGTTCGGTAAATTACGATACATCTCATCAGGTATACCTCAAAACCTTAAAACTAAGTTGTACAACCAGTGCGTGTTGCCAGTGATGTCCTACGGAACCGAGACGTGGTCCTTCACTGCTGGCCGTATGAGGACGCTCAAAGTCGCTCAGCGAGCTATGGAGAGGGCTATGCTCGGAGTTTCTCTGCGTGATAAATTTAGAAATGAGGATATCCGCAGTAGAATCAGTGTGACCGACATAGCCCAACGGATTAGTAAGCTGAAGTGGCAATGGGCCGGCCATATAGCTCGAATTGCAGCATAATCGGCGAAAATGTCCAAATTTATCCTTTCATCGGTAAGTAGTGTTTTTCATTATTGCACAGTAAATGAATGAAAATCTTATTAAGCTAACAGATGTTTAAAGTTACTAAGAATACGCAAGTTCAAAGTACAATAACATAAAATAATAAAGAAAATAAATTCAGATTTATGTCGATAAGCCAACCAAAATGTATACAGATAAATTGAATTCGGGTCACATGCACATAGTCGGATTATAATTTGTTAGGGATACCAGGGACACTTAAAACTATGGATTGTTTGTTATTGGCTACGGATTGGTATTTTTGAACATCGGTTTAGAAATTTGTGATAGAGACTTAGTTTTGTTTGGTCTCGCTTCTTACGGCAACTGAATACTATTTCAATAAACTTTTTTATTTTTTAGATTTCCCGATGAACCGTGTGTAAGAAAAAAATGGATTGAGTGTACTGGTCGAGTAGACTAGCAACCAAGTTGTCATTCCTAAATATGTTCTAGACATTTTAAAGCTACTTGCTTTTGACAGAAAAGGAATTCAACCTATTTCGAGGCACGTTCGATACCTACACTTTTCAGACATGTAAGTAAAGTTATAGTTATTACAATAAACGTCATGTAAATTATGTATCGTTATCACCAAACTCTTTTTCATTTTAGACCTTGGTACTACCGAGGCATATCGAAAAACCAGCCAGGCACCTCTAAATGTGAAGTTTTGGAGATGACACTGAAAGATTGAATTATTGATATTATTTTTGATTAAGTACTGATGATGTTAAATATATAATATTGAATATTGATTACTATAATTTCAGCTTAGTAATCCATATCTATAACGATAGATGAGAACATATTACATTTTAATTCTGAAGAAGTTGCTATGGTAATGGAAATAGAAAGTACCGAAGTAAGCTGGTTTTGGTAGAATTTGTTTATTTTTTCTTTAATATTTGTACCTAATTTTTTTTATGACGAGTTGTTACTTGTGTCAGTATATGCTTGTTTCAAATAAACTGATGATGTATTGTTATTATACTTACAACTTAGTAATCCATCTGCAACATTAGAGGAGGGATTGTTAGATTTAAAATATACGAAGTTTCAAAGGAAATAGAAACTTACTTGAAACCTATAAAAGTTATATTTACCTACGTAGTTCGAAATTAGTTTTTATGTTTTTCTCGACAGGAACTGGCTGGAATTAAATTAGGTACTGAAAAACTTTATTGACTGATATAATGTGGAGAGTTCGGAAATGTGCAACAAAATGTGTATGTCAATTTGACACCGCTGAAGGGACTGTAACATCGCCCGAATTTCGACGGAATCACAGGCTTTCTCCTAGTCCACATACGCAGGACAAAGTGGCAGATTTTACTCTTCGGTCTTCTGTACAATCTGCCGCAGGGTATGTATGTGGTCTATGGCACTGAAGCCTTTTCTGAAACCGGATTGTTCGGGAGGCTGAAAGTCGTCGAGTCTGCTTGCGAGATGATTCGTAATGACTCTCGAAAACTAAATGCACTGACTTTTCAGGAGACTATGAAAAAAAAATTACTATAGTCACCTTGTTTAATATTAATTATCATTACTTTTGGATCACCCCTCGTATTTAGCAGGGATGGTAGATATAATGAAGATATAAAACAACAAGTGAATGCAGAAATATACATAGAGTAATTGGGGTTCTTCACTCTATTGTAAGAAACCAGAATGTGTCAAAAAAGGAACGCAATTGATAATGCTGTGTTAGTTCCTACAATATATGGTAGAGAAGTTGGGTGTGGCAGAAAAAGCACGAGAGTGGAATAAATGCTGTAGAAATGCGGGCATTAAGGAGTATCCTGGAGGTGAATCTGAATGACAGGGTAAGAAATCGTGTGATAAGAAAAAAAGTGGTTAGCAAGATGTTGTTTTGATCACGATTAAGAAACCTTGAAACATATTAATATGCTCGTAGTCGGAGTATGCACCGTCTGCTACAAACTCCATGCTCTGATCGGCAAGAAAACTAATGATCCAATTGCACAATTTCTCGGGAAGCCCATAGGAAGGAAGCTTCTAAAGAAGCGCTTCGTGCTAAAACCCATCGAAGGCTTAGCTATGTCCAGAATAACGACCAAGGTCTGCCTCTTGGACTCGACTGTTTCCGATCATCTATGAGATAGGTTAATTAGAATATTAGAACTACCTAGACCACCAGCTGACCGCCAATGCGGTCACTAATCTACTGATGGTCCTCAACTTAGCGCCTGGCGTGCTCAGCAAAGTGGCATAGTATTTCATGCCAGTACATCGTTGGCAGACCATCATGTCTGCGATTTACCAGACGTTTTCTTCCTCATAAGACTTCTTTGTGACATCATTTACCACAGGCGATTTTTCTGGACCGATATGTCTTAGAGATCTTCAAGAAACGAGCCTACTCTCTTTAAAAAGGCCGGCAACGCACCTGTAATTTCCTTGGTGTTGCATTTGTTCATAGGCGATGGTTGACACCATAAGGCCTCTTGTACATGACACGGTTTCTTTACGGTAGGGCACGTAAAACGTAACGTAGAATAGTTGCGCTCGCACAACTATATAAAACGGCAAACCATCGGATGAGACAACGGCCAGGTACAGTTCCGTTGTTATTTTTTTTTTTTTGCTATGCCAGACTACAGACGCGCGTCATGAATAATAAAAAAATATCATTGCTTATTTACGTATATAAAATACTCAAAAAATAAGAAAGAAAAAAAAGAAGTTTTGAATACATCCCATTATAGAAAAGAGGGAAGAATTTGGTGGTTTAATACATTTATCAAGAATGAACTGAGGGAAGACGAAGATATATTTTACAATTATTTTAGAATGCAAAATGCCACGTATCAAACGTTCGATTAATTGTTACAAAAATTTTGGAAAAAAAACTAAAACATTAAGATAACAATATGTAAGACAGTATAGTCCGCAGAAAGATTAAATGTAACTTTGAAGCAAAAAATTAAAAACAAAATACCAACTTTTGTTCATTAATACTTTATTAATTATACACAAATTAAATGAAATTGGTTATAAGTAGAGATCAAAAATTGTATCTATTGAGTTGTGGCAACACTACAGCTTGTCATCCTTCTAACAGTAGCATTTCCAGGTATATATAGGGATTATATTCCGAAATACAACACACACTGTCGAATGCGAATGACGTCATTAATTACGTCGTATTCCACCATATTCGATACAACGAATCACCAATATGGCGTCGATTTATGACGTCATTCGCATTCGACAGTGTACTGTGTTGTATTTCGGAACATACCCATAATGTACTCTGTGAGTAGCATGGAGGCTAGAGATCAGTAGAGTCCAAGGGGGGAGGCATTTAATCGATGCATTGGCCCATGGAGTGTAGGGTACGGAGAACCATTTCACATAGGAGAATATTTGAAAAAGTGTCCATCAGTAAGCAGTAAATAACAGTTCAAAAACTCTCCACAACAGCGTTAGAGTAGCTCGAAGGTATGAAATGAACTTAGCAGTTGTCGATGTAATGAAGTGTGCTGAGTTGAGGAATTTAATATTTGTGGTGACTAAAGTAGTTGATTAAACTACAGTATTTAAAACCTCAACTACTCACGTTGTCTAATAAATTGTTTCGTTGTCTAATTTAGTAAATATAACATAGAAAAAGTCGCCGTGAAACACGTTGAGAGTGATTTTGAAAATAAAAACTGAATTTTAAAAACAATAAAATTATTATTATTAAATAGAATTACGGTGAAAGGCTGTGCAATAAAAATGAAGTTTCTTGATAAGCTGAATCGTCTCGTCAATAACTGTATCCGTTTCATTTTTCGTCTTCGCAAGTTTGATCATGTATCCTCATTCCGCACTCAGCTTAATCGGCTTCCAATTCATCAGCGAAGACACATTAGGATACTTAACACAGTTTTTTCTATTTTTTTTTTTTTGATAACCACTATCCGAATTATGTGAAACATAAGTTTCAGTTTCTGCGCGACACTCATGACAAACAGCTTCGTTCATCGGAGACTCTTGCTCTCTTTATATACCTACACCGTTCGAGTTTCCTGAGAGAATGACCTGCCTGAAAAATTAAGACAACCTACTTGCAAACAAACATTTAAGAAATATATGCATGCATAAAATCAGAAAGACCGGAATACCTCTATCAAAAATTAAAATGGAGAAGAGCAGATGATTGTCGAAGCATCAGAACGGGTACACCAATTCTGGCAATCCCATTTCACCGAACAGCCGCGTTTCGTGGTAGTTTTAGATACATGGCCACTAAATGTTGGAATAATTTACCTTTACGGAAATCTAAATCTGTAAACGGTTTTAAAGCTCAACTAAAAAAACACCTTTTAGCATTTCAAAAATCATGATTTCACGTGTAGTGGCAGGTTATTTCATAAGTACTGTTTAACAAATATATACGAATAATTAATATGAATATAGTACAATCTAAAATGTAATATATTTTTATGTGCGAGTGTATATATGCACGTGTATGTATATGTATTTTTTTAACAATTAATGTTATTCTTAAAAATGTACACTTTGAGTGAATGGTTGATTTATTTATTTTTTAATGGAATATTAGCACCGATAACAGCGCGGGCGCAATATCGAATAAATACTATTCAGGGCTCCGCTGAAAATCAGCGCTGCTGCAGTACGTGTGGTAGCATATGCTGAGTCGGAATCGTTTTTGGCACCACATCACTCACTCTTGCCGAGACTTATTTTTAATTATGTTTACCATCTTGTACCTTGTGTGTTTTTATGTTTTATTTACTTTTAAACGTATATTTTGTGAGTGTATTGATGCAAATAAAACTTATGTTATGTTATGTTACTTATGTTATGTTAAGAAGAATGTTCGGGCTCATTTTCTAAAATTGATATATAACTGCTAAGCTCCGTCATCATTATAGTTGTAATCTGTGTATATCAGTTTCATCAGTATTAATAACACAATGTATCTCACAAGTAATACATCCCATACCTTTAAACGAGCAATTCTTGTGTATAATCTGAATCTCGGAAACGGATCCAACGATTTTCGTAAAATTTTGTGTCCAGGGAGTTTCGGGGGCAATAAATCGATCTAGCTAGGATTTATTTTTAGAAAATGTCTTTTTGTCCGTGTTTTCAGGCAATGAAAAACTGCTACAATATAAGAAGGTCAATTTTGACACTGTGGTAATGATCGTAATAGCTAAAGAGGATATCGAGCGATCGCGAAATCGTAATGCTTTGGTTCGCTTCCTCACTTCGGTCCGATTTTTTTTCCTTTTTTTTTCAAGTTCCCTTCTTTTGTGAGAAAATCTATTATTGCGAGCCCTTTTTTAGTATTTTCTAAAAATTCGAAAATTTTAATTAAACTACTTGCACTCACGATTTTTATTCAAATAACCAAAAAACAAAAAAAATCAAATAACGGTCATCCGGGTACTATTATATTAAATTAGATTGCTTATTGCGATTGCCAAGTCAATCTATATATTTAAAACATAAAAGATTTTTAACATTGATATTGTCACTATAAGATGTTGTTAGGTAGGCTAATTACGTAATAACCTAAAACAGAAGGACCCTTAAGTGGGGACTGTATAAATTAACCGACTTGGTATTACATGGATCTCACAACTTTTTATGATAGAAGAACTGAGTTGGGAGACTTGGTTTTTTTTTACAAGTTATCTTTTTGATGCCATCTCATTT